TAATTATTTCTTTTATTGTACTGTTTGTTGGGTTTTGTGGTTTTGTAGGAACTCAATTTTATTCGAGGGCTGGTTTTTGGTTAAGTTGGATATCGTTTAATCGGAGATTGATTCCAAGTTAAACTTGAGTATTCTAATGTTAATTAATGTGTGGGAGGAGTGAGATTTTAATCTATAGGCGTGCTTTGTTCATTAGCTGGTTCGCAATTTGTTTTGTTGTAATTCTTTTATAATTAAGTTGAATATCCCTTATACTCATTCTAGTTCATCTTTGCTTATCTAAAAAAACTAGACTTTCTAGAAAATCTAATTTGTTTGTGTAAATAGTATTTTTAAAATGCTCAAATTTATCTGATTTACTATACAAATTAGACCGAATTGAATTTTTAAACAAGTCGGAATATAAACCTCTATCCAACCTTCTGATTTATTCTCACCTTTAATTGTTGTAAAAGTCAAAATTGGATTTCTAACCCGAATACTTTAACAAAATTAGATGAAAGCTACAGTTACTTTACTATTCATCTAGCATTTTTTCCTTTTTTTTTTATAATCAATAGTATATTCAATAAAGAGACCAAGGGGTCCCAAACCCAACAAGGTTACATGCTTAGAAAAGCTTCCACAAAGATATTGTCTTTACAATAACAAAATAGCACACATCCTTACAAGAATTCAATATGCCTCTTACACCATTCATAGTAGTCGCTCTTGACCTTTTTTTACAAGAACATCCAACCATCTCCAAGAAAAATGTAAATTTTTTATGGAAGATATCTTTTGGAACAGCCACCAAGTCATTAAATAATACTTGATTCCTAGTCCACCAAAGCCTCCAACAAGAAACTAACCAAATTAAACAAGAAGAAGAGAGTGGTAAGTGAGCATTGTCCAAGCCAGCATATTATCAGTAGCAGTATGTGTAGCAGGGATAGCTACTTTGATCCAATCAATGATATTTTTCCAAACTACCATGGTTTTGGGACAAGTTAAGAAGATATGGTGAATGTCTTTTATGGCATAAAAGAAAAATACGCAAACGCTATCGTGAGGATTTGTGACAAGACCTCTACGCATTAGATTCAGCCTTGTTGGAAGACGATTTAAAAAGAGTCACCAACCAAATATTTTCACCTTAAGAAGAATGTTAGATTGCCATAAGATATTTAAAGCCCTGCTAGTTTTTGAATAAAGAAAGGAACCATCATCAGCACAAGAGAATGAGTCATAACATGAAGATACACAAAACATGTTGTTCTTCCCTTTTGCTTAAACAATAATGTCCAATGCTCCAAATGAAGGTTTTACTTCTGCCAAAATCTGCTGTAGGTCGTGCAATTCAGAATTGGCAGCATCATCCTTTGCCAAAAAGTGCCCTCTCAAATCCTAGACCCAAGCATCTTCCTCCCATCTCCCGCAATCCTTCACAGTAGCCAATTTTGCAGGTCGAGCCTTCAAACAAAGCAGGGAATAATCGTGACAGAGATGCTGGCCCGAGCCATTTTAAGTGATAAAATAAAATTAAGCTCCCATCCCCAAGTTTCCAAGATAGAAGGTTGTAGAATCCTTCCTCTTGAGTAGAATACCCTAAAATCATAATGTCCTTCCACCACCTTGATTCTATGCTAAGATTATTTGTGATTTCTTTAGTAAAATTTATGTTCTTCAAACAACCGTACTTGGCCTCCAAAATTCCAAACCAAATTGTATTCGTTTCATAGGAAAATCTCCATAGCCATTTAGCCAACAATGCTTTGTTGAAAACAACCACATCCTTGATACCTAGTCCACCCTTGTTCTTTGGTTTACGTACTTGTGCCCAACTAACCCAAGATATGGAATTTCTGTCGCTCGATCCAAACCAGCGAAATTTTCTCTGAATGGTTTTAATCTCCTTAAACACCTATAAAGGAGCTTTGTAGAATGATAGATAATATATTGGCATGTTGGTTAAAATCGAATTAATCAAGACTACTCTTCCTCCAATTGATAGCATCCTACCCCTTCAAGATGAGAGGCGAGTCTTTATGCAATCAATCACAGGTTGCTAGAACGCAGTACTGTTATGTTTCCCTCTAATGCTCAGTCCTAGAAATTTGAATGGGAGCACACTCACTCTGCACGTTAGTGATGGAAAATTGCGATCTAAACGCAGCGGAAAACAAAAATTTCCTTTAGTGATCCTTACGAATGAGCATGGTCAGTGATAGAATCGTTACCTCTTTGTGGCGATTCAGATCTTTGATGCAGCGATCACAAGCGTTGATGAAGTGCAACGCCTCTACTCAGTCCACACGAACAGCTTCCGGTCACAGTGCTAGCTGCTTACGAACGGAATTATTTGAGTGAGAAAAGAGAATCAAAAACGAAATTGCATCAAAAATGAAAGCTTCATCACAAGGGTTCCTTTTATAGACTCTCTTGTGGGCTGCGGGCTAAAAACCCAATTCACATGATCCATAATAATATTATATATTATTATAATAACTATTATTATAATAAATATATTTATTTTATTATTATTTTATAACCATTATAAAATAACAATAATTATTATTATATTATCCAAATTTCTATTTTTCACTTAAGTGCACCGTACCTTACAGTGTTCCTTTGATTTCTCTATCTCTCATCAAACTGTCCTTATGTGTGTGACCCTGTAGGATTTCGTAACGTTGGTAATTATATTAAATTATATATTTAACATAATAAACAGTAAGTGGTATCTAGCAACACATCACTGCTACCCAAGTCACGAAAATGTCATGTGATCTGACAAAACCTTTTTCGTGATAATATATGTTTGTACAATTACCCTTTTGCCCCTATGTCTATATTGAACACAAGGCATACACTGTGTCATCCTTGTCCAGTTCAATATTGGGCCCTTAGACATTTCTCCTGTTATGCAGGATTGGCAAATTCCATCTAGGACACTCATGTCCCTCAGCATGCTTCGTGGAGTGCCCATCAACTGTCTTTATGATCATCCAGTTACGGATAATGTTTGATCAGCAATAAAGCACCCGACTCTACATCTAGGGTCCATAGTGGTTTCAGGTCGAAGGGTGGTAATACACCATTATCACCATGAGAATAACTTATGACACTTTGCATAACATACTATGTAGTATTCTCATAGCGGGTCAATCCGGTATAAATATTACTCCTAATATTTATACCTATGTCAAGACTTGATAACTCTTTATCCATGATCCATGAGATGTGATCATCAGTCTATCTTCATAATAGTCTCAATGCTTTTAATGTTATCCCACTTTGCAATAAAGCTTGACTACGGATATTTTAAGAATAATGTCTTTATGTTTAATGGGATCTCATGATTAAGTCACACTTAACATTTCATTAAACAGACTAACTATTCTAGGGACTTTATTATTCTGAAAGACAAACATAATAAAGAAATGCCTTTTATTATTAAACGAATAATCCGATACAAGTACCAAAAAGTATTGGCCTCTAGGGCTTACACCAACAGTTAGGAAGTGGGATGATGCTCTTTAAAAGGTTCTTATAAGCCCACTCCAGATATGCTGCTTTTCCAAAGATTAACCTGCAAGCCAGACACTAATTCGAATCCACGAAGGATAAATTTAATGCCCCATAAGTTAGACCACGAGTTTTCGCACACAATCAAGGTGTCATCGGAAAATTGGAGAATGTTAATAGAGTTCCTTTCATCAATCTCAAAGCCCCTCAAGATATTTCTATTTACAGCCTTCTTGACCAAACACGTTAAACATTCAGCAACTAATACAAATAAGAACGGTGATAAAGGGTCACCTTGACGCAGTCCATGGGTTTCCTTAAAGTCTTTCGTCGTGCTTCCGTTAACCAGAACAGATAAATAGCTAGAGCATGTCAAACCTTTAATCCAAATGCACCATTTCTCACCAAAATTCATTGCCTTCAGTACTGTTTGTAGGAAACTCCAGCCTACACAATCGTACGCTTGAGAAAAATCAACCTTGAACATCAGACAACTTTTGTTCTTCTTCTTTGCAAAATCCAGGAGTTCATTGTCTACTAACACACCATCAAGGAGTTGTCGTCCTGGAATGAACGTCATTTGCGTAGCTGAAACTAGCTTACCAATCACCTTGTAGAGTCTTGCCGCCAGCATTTTGGAAACAATTTTATAAATGCTGCCAATTAAACTTATTGACATGAAATCATTCAAACTTTGAGGACACTCAATTTTTGAAATGAGGGCGATGAATGAAGAGCACTATGGTAAAATTCCAAATACAATTTGATACGTCCGCACCAATCTCCTTCCAACATGTCTTAATAAAAGTCATATTAAATCCGTCTAGACATGGGCTTTTGTTTCCGTCGCGAGTTGATGGCTTCTTTAATATCTTCATCGTAAAAATTGTCTTGCAGTGAATCTTTTTCTTCATTAGAAAGCTTTAATCATTAGTTAATCATAGTTTTTAAATCTATACATTGTTGAGTTTTTCAGCTTTAATCATTAGTTAATTGTCTTGCAAAAAAATTGACATTATTCTTTGAAAAACAAAACAAAAAAATGATTAATCATTAGTTAATCATCCTTTTTAAAAAAATATACATTGTTGAGTTTTTCAGTATCATTTTCAATAAGCCGTATTTCCAAATTTAAAATGTATTGATTATTTTTGCATTGTAAAAAAAATACTAATACTAATTATAAAAAAAATACTAATACTAATTATTGATAAATTATTAATCAAGCTTTTCATTTGAATGAACTATGTTTCGGACGAAATATGTATAAGTAATTAAATGAATCAAATAATTTGCACACATGAAAATTATTTATAAAAACAAAAGCCATTGAGATCATATGAGAATCACACTCTATATCCTCTTGTATTAATAGAATGAAAATTGACATAAACACCATAATTATAAGTAATAGCCAAACACACTTACATAACTTTATTCATAACAAACAATACCTAGATGTGTGCATATTAATAAACTAACAAACATTCCTAGCCACTGCCACCAAACACAGTCTTAAGCTTCTCAATTTCCGAAAAATCAAGAAGAGTAGACTCTGCAATCACAGAACTTGTTAAGCTGTTTGCAAAGAGTAGATGATCAATAAACTGAAAGCTAGGGTTTGAATTACTATAAGTAGCAAAAGCAACAGCTTCTTCACCTCCAGAGTTCACTACAAAATGCACCTGTCCTTTTGGAAAAGCCATAACATCACCCGGCTTGATATCCTTCACATAAACATTCTTCGGTGTCACAAATCCAGCTCTTAACTGACCTTTAACCATGATTAGTAACTCAGAAGCATCAGGATGAGTGTGCATTGCAATAGTTCCATTTACACCGACGTCGACTCTTGCCGCAGAGATATCAAGTCCGTTGAGTCCGGGAAAATTATCGACGGACGCAACGGTTAATGTAATATTGAAAGGGTGTATTGGTTCTCCAGATACAAAGTTATGAAATACAAAATCATCGACGGTTATGTCTTTTGGTGACTTGCATGGATAGCCTGAAGGAGTGTATGCAGCGGATAGGTTTGCTACGCAGAAATCAGAATTGGAATTTCCATAAGATGAGACATGGAAGGTGGATGATGAGATGAGAGCAAGAAAGAAAAGAACAATAAGGTTCATCTTCATCTTTGAAACTTGAGTTTTGGTTATGGAAATGTGGGATAGGGCTCTTGCTATTTATATAGTGATTAGGTACTCATTTATTATGAATTATTATGAATTATTAGAATAATGATTTTGATTAATTAATAATAAACTATTTTTTTTTTACAAAATAAAATATGTAAAAGGATTCTAACTGTAATATTTTACAAATTGGGTTGGATGGATACTTTAAATGAGCATTTCAATGAGAATATTAAAATAAACCATCTAATTATTACTCTATTTTTCATTTTTCAAACAAAAAATTGAATTTGAAATAATTAAATTCCTATGCTTAATTTGTGTTTCATGATCTGGAACTTGTTTTTTAGCTATAAATGATAACACTTTTTCTCCTATGGTTAACACGGTTTCTTTGAGAAATAAACGTATAAGTATATATTAGATAAAAATATGAGAAAGTGTTGCATTATGTTGGCTATTATGTAGGTTAGAAATGTATAAAATACATATTAAGTCGATTTCACCAATAGGAATCATAATAGGAGGATTTGGAGTTTTCTAATAACAAAATAGAAAACCATCTCACAAGCAAAAGCATGGAAATATTCCTTTTGTTTTTGTAATGACCATATTAGAAAAGATTATGGCTTTAGTTGGATAACATGTATTACACTCAACTGGAGTAAATTATTAAGTTTTTCTTTGTTTTATTTTTAAATTTTGTGTTATACTTACCTATTAATAAGAAGATATTAATTTTTTTAACTCAACATTTATATGTATTTAAAAATAAATAAAAATGCTAAAAATTGTTTTTGTTATATTCAAAGTGCATTATTCACAATGACATTTAATTTCCTTTCCTTTCATTTTTCATTTTATAAAGTGGTTTAATTTATATCTTTTATTTAACAAATTAAGATAAATACATAATTTTAAAATTAAAATAATTAATATTTGTACAAAATAAACTAACTTTAAGTTTTTTTTATGTTTATTTGTATTGTATAAAATTTAACTTTAACACCACAACTAAATATATCTAGTTTCATATTTGTCAAATATAAAAGGCTAACTTTTTATTTTACTAATGAAGCATGTTAACATATTTTCTTTAGACAAGTGCTAATAAATTAAATATTAATATATTTCTTATGAATATGTGAATTCAATTTAATTTTAATTTTTTAACAATTTCAGAAAATATTTGTTTATTTTAAATTCTTTAAGATATGCATTTAAGACACGTAATATAAAAATGAAGAAAAATTAGAAATTTTGTGTATAATCATGAAAATTAATACATAAAAAGAGACCCGTGTATGTTATTATATAATACTCTATATGATGTCTTTTTTTCTTTTTATAATAAGTGATATATTTAATCATTTCATAATATGTCTAGCTATTAGAAGAATAACTTATAGCATTGTATCATAGTTGATAAAATAGAATATCCGAACTTAAACGGATATTTTTGGTGGGCTTTGGGCTTTTCCAAACCGAGCCAAAAAAACTCATATTAAATGTGGGTTCCGTTTGGAAGTTTTACCTCATACCCCTACGCTTGTACCTATACTCCTACATTAAAAAATTTTGGACCAAAATATCCTCGTATAAAAATTTATTATTTTTTAATTTTTTTATATTTTTTTATTTGTTTACCGGAAGACTTTTTGGAAGTCTTCCTGTTCACATTTTTTTTCGTATGTTTACCGGAAGACTTTTTGGAAATCTTCCGGTTCATATTTTTTCGTTTGTTTACCGGAAGACTTTTTGGAAGTCTTCCGGTTTATTTTTTTTTTTAATTTGTAATTAATATTTAAGATTTATTAACTTTATATAAAGACCAATTTAGTGAATTTTTGAATATTATACTTAAAATATAAAAATTCTATAAATAGAGAATTATTTTCAGAATATTTTCTATTTGCTATAATTATTAGAATACAATGAGATTAAAATCATTTATTTTAAATGATCATAATAATAAAATTTTCTCAAATATCTTATTAATCTTAAACATTAATAAATAAAATAAATTTAAATATAGGATATAAGTTTACATTATTCAATATATTTAATCAAATGAAAACATATGTGATAAATAAATAATGTATTTTAACTTAAAATGATCACAATAAGTTAACTTGCAAAATAATATAAGTAATAAATTAATAATGTATTTTATTTAAAATAATCACAATAATAGAATACGCAAATAATGTGTTTTATTTATAGGACTGATATAGTTTTATTGATTATTTAATTTTAAATACTACTATGAATATAGTATTTAATCTATACTTTAGAACTCACATAATTATAAATATAAAAAATATTGTTTTATTACCCATTTTTTTATTTAATTAAAAAAAATAAGAATATAAATTTATTATTTGTTTTTCATTTTCGTTTGATCTTTTTTTTATTTATAAATTTTTTCCATATTCTATACTGTGCTTACTTTAAATAAAATATATTATTTATTTTAATAAAAATATTAAATAAAGTGAAATAATTAAAAAGATCAAACAAAAATGAAAAACAAATAATAAATTTATATTCTTATTTTTTTTAATTAAATAAAAATATGGGTAATAAAACAATATTTTTTGTATTTATAATTATGTGAGTTCTAAAGTATAGATTAAATACTATATTCATAGTAGTATTCAAAATTAAATAATCAATAAAACTATATCAGTCCTATAAATAAAACACATTATTTGCGTATTTTATTATTGTGATTATTTTAAATAAAATACATTATTAATTTATTACTTATATTATTTTGCAAGTTAATTTATTGTGATCATTTTAAGGTAAAATACATTATTTATTTATCACATATGTTTTCATTTGATTAAATATATTGAATAATGTAAACTTATATCTTATATTTAAATTTATTTTATTTATTAATGTTTAAGATTAATAAGATATTTGAGAAAATTCTACTATTATGATCATTTAAAATAAATGATTTTAATCCTAGTATTCTTATAATTATAGTAAATAGAAAATATTCTGAAAATGATTCTCTATTTATAAAATTTTTATATTTTAAGTATAATATTCAAAAATTTACTAAATTGGTCTTTATATAAAATTAATAAATCTTAAATATTAATTACAAATTAAAAAAAAAACATGAACCGGAAGACTTCCAAAAAGTCTTCCGGTAAACAAACAAAAAAAATATGTACCGAAAGACTTCCAAAAAGTCTTCCGGTAAACATACTAAAAAAATGTGAACCGGAAGACTTCCAAAAAATCTTCCGGTAAACAAATAAAAAAATATAAAAAAAATTAAAAAATAATAAATTTTTATACGAGGATATTTTAGTCCAAATTTTTTTTAATATAAGGGTATAGGTATAAGTGTAGGGATATGGGGTAAAACTTCCGTTCCGTTTTTATTACTCAGATTTAATCCTATCTGAATTGCGGGCTATTTGGCCCTATACTGGCCCGACTTTGAACTGGCCCATTTTTGAAGAAAAAAATAAAAAATCTCCTTATTCGTAAGCATATTATCCTTATTTTGTAAGTAATATATAATAATTTTTATTAAACATAAAAACATATCCAACATATTTAAAGGTACACGATAACACAAATATCTAACATGTAACTTTCAACAAATTATATAGTTTTAAGTTACATGATAAAATAAAATAAGGTGCATGAATCATGATAGCACAATATCAAACATGTAACTTCCATAAAATAACAAGTTTTAAGTTATCAAACTTAACACAGAATCAAGTAGGCCTAACTCAACTCACAAAATCACTTGAGTTTTCTTCAAATACATTCACATGTTAAAATATGTTGGATGTTTGTCCACTTATATCATCTTGATTAATATTAATGTCATTATCAAATTCTACAAAACAATAAAAGTAGTAGTTAAAAATTACACATTATTTATAACAGGAATGAATAAATGTCTATAATAAACTTGAAAAAAGTTAACAAGTTTACCTTCTAAACCATATAACCAACTTCATGTGCACATGAAAGCTTGAACTAATTCTTCTTTCATTGAACTTCTATATTTGTTTAAAACTCGAGAGCCAATGCTAAAAACAGATTCAGATGTCACCGTGGTTATTGGAATGTTCAATATATCACAAGCTATTCTTGCAAGATTGGGACATCTATGACTTTTTTTCTTTCTTGTGAGCAAAAGCCAAAATCCTATTTTGCAACTTCTAATTCACATCAATATAATGAGTAGTTAAAGAAATATAACCTTTGTTAGTGCATGCAGTCCAACAATCAGAACTCAAATAAACTCTCCCCTTAATTTGAGTCAACTGTGACTTAAGCTTTCGTTTTTCATCCTCATAAGATTTCATCACATCACTGGAAGAAGTATTTCTAGTAACAAAGGTACACTCGTCATTCAAAAAATATTGATATTTCCTAAAAATCCTATATTCAACAAAGTTAAACAGTAAACCATGTGTGATCATCATTTTAGCTAATATCTCACGGTTAACCTTAGGATCAATTTTTTTCTTTCTCAATCTTCCTTTGGCATCAAGTATCATATCACTCACATCGCGAAATTTTGGAATATGTTTACAATTGTTCACATAACAAGTTATATGAGAAGTTCCATTAGTTGCAGCACAACTCATTAATCTTAACCATCTACAACCTCAACCTTTAAAAAGTTAAAGGTGAGAAAAATACACAAAAAAGGAGAGTTGAATTGTGTTTTACGTTTTCTTAGTATGCATTTGATCAGAGTTCAGATTCTAAACTAGTGTTCAGATTCTGGTTAATTCTTAGCACCAGAATGTTAATAGAAGTAAATATATAATAGTAGAAGACATAAAGATTTATACTAGTTCCTTCCAAACTAAGAGTAGTTCAGTCCCCTTGCTTCACAAGAGATTTTCAATGTAATCAAAGCATGATTACAATTGCTTATGCATTATGCATAAGACTTTCACAATTGCTCAAACCCAAGGTCCAAGACTTATGCTCAAGCTCCTCACTCG